CTCTCTATTAATCATTCATATTACAATTGTGTAAGGGGGATATTTTGTTTACTAATATTATTACAACATAGCATTTTGGAGACCTTTTGAAACGAAACGAAACGAAATTTACCATCAATATAATAAAATTGTTTGAGGACATTAAATAATTAAAATATGTTGTTGGTCAAATGAACATATAATAGAAATTTTCTACACATTATACAGGGTGATTCACAACTTATCCAAAAAAATTTGGGAATAGATGCAGGATGAGAAATGGAATCAACATTGTAAAAAAATTTTTTGTAAAATTCTTATAGTTTCCGAGAAAAAAAAATTTTGAAGTTATAGTACATTCAACTACTACATAGCTGGACAACTGTAGTCTCTAGTATCATTCGCCACGTGGCCTCAGCGACTCCGAATACTGAAATCGGATTTTGCAATCGTCGTTGCGATAGTGGTGTTTACAAAAGGTTTTTAGTAGTTAGTGTCAAAAATGGNCTGCACCATTTTGGTTAACATGCGAATTATTCCGAGCCACCCGTTCACAGAAAATTCGTGTTGAAAAGATCTTGTCCGAATTTCATAAGGATTTTCTTGTGACCAAATATGCAGATTGTGAAAATTCACTAACCCTCGCCTTTGTAAATGTACATTTATTATTATTTTGATTTAAGTTGTTCTTATTTGTAGTGAAGATAGTGAGTTAGGCTTCCAGGGAAAACTAAAACGCGTAAGGAACTATACCTCACAGGTGGTGTGGAAACGAGTGTAAAGAATTTTGTTGATGTGCTTACAAATTCCACTTACTTTTAAGCATAAACGTAAATATAATTATAATATGTCTGCACAAAAGGGGATTGTATTGGTATGAATAACTGGAAAACGGCGTATCTTAGGGAAAAAAATCAAGTTACCTTTTTTACGTATTTTGTGCATTAAAATGTAAATCCGTCACAATAACTTGTAAAAATGCAGTGCCGTAGGTTTTTTTTATAAAAAAGGAGATGACCCCTGCCCAGTTGTACACCACTGATTGTACCTTTAGAGCCGATATTTTAGGGAATGTAAGGCCTACTGTCATAGATTATCTGTACCAAATTCTATTGAGATCAGGTAATACATTTCGGAGATATAATAAAAAAAATCTATTTTTTTTAACAACTTCTATCTCTAAAACGAGGCTGTTCCAGACCAACTCATGCGAAATATTTTTATGAAATTTGGTATACCGGGGTTCTTAATGATGCCAAATACGCTGGTCTAATTATTTTTTGGATAGTTCATAGAGGGCGCTAGTTATGCTACATTCGTATTACATTTTAAGTTCAAATTTTTTTGAGGTTAGGTTTTTTACCATTCGGGATCCAACTCCTAATGTACAATTTTATTTTCTAAAAATAATGTACTCTCGTTAGAACTTCCTAATGTGGAGGTTTTCGAGAAAAAAGACTTTTAATTGAACTCTTACAATTTTACGGTGTATAAAAGAAGTGACTTCTCTCAAAGTAGGCTTATGTCAAAACTTATTGATGGATTTTTAGTAATATTTTAAACTCTAATTAACTTTATATCAAAATTTTAGTGACTGTAATTAGTCATTGCTAACTACAGTCAGTAACAATTACTTCGACAGAAGGAAAATGAATTATAAAACATCAACAAATATTAAAATATTAAGAATTTTGTTATACATTCTATCTAAGACATACTTGATGTACCTACATTTATTTTCTTACCTCTTTCTTAAAGCCAATTCTGTGTTCTTACTCAACGGTGCGGCCCCACAAGCAACTTCCTCAACACAAGATAGGTCATAATTTAATATTTTCGGACTTTTTTCTATAAAAATAGCTAAGGGGGGCACCAGAGGCAACATTAAAATTTCATAGTCTTGGATAGATTTTAAGAAGACATCCTCATCAAATTTTTTTAACACCACTAATTTGTGACCGTTAGTTATGGCATCGAGACCAACATTTAATCCATATGTATGAAAAAAAGGCATTAAGCCAAGAATGTTTTTTGACGAAAGGGAATATTTAGGATCTCTGAAACAAAGCGATATATAAATATATGAAAATCACTACATAGGTACAAGTATTTTAAATATTTTGTCATTTTCGTTTTTTCTTTGTTTTCAGTGAAAGTGTCTATATTTTTCTATTTTAGTAAATGTCTAACAAAGAAGTTATCAGATAAAAGAACTTCTAAAATGTTATTAAAACAATAATAAAAATCGAGTTTCAACAAAGTCTCAATTACTGTGAAAAATTGTCTGACCGATGAGTATTCAAAAACTAAATATCCACCTACTAATGGTACTATTCGGTAACATTTTGGACCTACTGTATATAATTGATTTAAAAGTATTATGTTTAATTTTTATATATACTTTTCTTTTAGGAAATGTAACAAATTCTATTAAAAAATATATTCAGATTTACCTAAAATGACGGAGAAAAGCAACTACATTTGTCCTCTGTAAATATTAAGATTATATTGTACTCTTAAATAATGTGGCGTTTTTGATCAATGTAAATTTGCTGTAGGTACTGTAAGAANAAAGACATCATTTGTGTTAGTTCGTAGAAACTGAGTACAACGGACCCAAATATGTTTACACGTTGGTGGATAAAATTTTGAACAATTGTTGTAACATCGGGTATGTCAAATGATTTTATTATTTAAAATTTAAAATCAAATTAATTTTATTAATTAATAAGGGCAAAAGCAGTTGAATTTGCCGATATAAAATAGGTGCGATAAAATTCTATTTATATTTCTTTCCTTGCGAAAGTTTGTGTCCGTTTTTATCACACCGCCATGCCGGTCGCATTGTGCGAGGTCAGGTTTTACAGTGGACCAATTTCCAGTGCCGTGCAGAAGTGTATTTTTAAATCATTTTCGAACTGCCCTTTTTGATTTTTTCTTTACAAAATTGTATTTGTAAGGGTCCTCAGCATTCGAATCTGGATTCAGAATTGCTCCAACAGAGAAAAAAGTGGAGAAAGAAATTACATCAAAATTTTCACAAATTTTCAGGTTTTCGGAGCCGCTGAAAAAGGAAAATATATATTTTATAATTCAAATGCAATGTTTTTAAGTAAAAAATTGAAAACTTCAATTCAACACATATAGTCCATGTTTAATATAACTAATCTACGTACGATGTACCTACTTATCTATTAAATACCAATTATTCATTTATACGAAAAGTTACTAAAATATATTTGATTAAATATGGGTATAGCAAAACCACAAAGATTTCAACTTTCCGTCCTACTAATCGTAAAGTTACCCTGTAAAAGTACTTAATTATGGATCAGACACATAAAGTTTAAGTAAGGAATTAAAGGCTTACCGCTTGCCGGAACATAAATATTAAAGATCAGACAATCTCCTGATTGGTTCTCCAAAAGGTTACATTTTATTGTGTGTCCTGGGAAGCTGTTCTCAAACTTTTTGTAGGAAAACTTTTGTTATAAATTAAGGGAAATGTATCTATAGTTAAATTGAGAGAAGTGCAAGAGGTAGCAATTGTCATTAACAGCTGGGGATCAATGTTATTTTCGAAATATCGAGATATATTTTAAGCTCAGTATATAGGGGTTAAAAAAATAATGATATAAATTGTATGACATTTTGCAGAACAGAATTGTATAGACTTTAATTAATTTTTCTCTGTTAAAGAGATTTTTTGTTCAAGTTTGTTCTTTTTACTGTTGTGCATATGAAAAATAAATCGATCAATTCAGTCTGAAGACTTAAATGGCTTAAACGACTCTTATTGGTTAGAAACTTTAATTCACAATTTCTATTAATTACTATATTTACATAAAAAATTATTTGGTATACTTTAATACCTGGAAATGTATAAATCATAATTCTGTTTTATATTCAAATCATGTTCTGGAATCTGGGATTCTAGGGAGGGTAGCTTAAAAAGCTGCAGCATTTAGGCCCCATTGGGCCCCTTGTACTTCCGCCCATTGGGAGATCAATCCATCTGAACCATTAACCAACCTATTACAGACAAAAAGGTGGTGACGTTGCTCATAGGGATCTCTCTAATATAGGTCTTAGAAGGCCAACGCTCTCCCAACATGGATTCTCTTGTTGACGAGACGGCAGTGCATTTGCATAGCACATGTAGTACTGCCTCAACCTCCTGTTCATAGCCCCTCATGTTGTAAAGGTGCTTCCTGAGCCAACACTGTCCAGTGTGAAGATTTTACCTAGACATGGCCAGATATTTTTTTGCTGTATCCTTGCTAGGATATTCTAAGAACTCTTTAACAAAATGATATCTATTTGTTTCCTTCCACCGTTTCATAAATTCTTTGTGGGTATTTTCCTTGATAATTTCAGCAAGTGCAGACAGCGGAAGCATACTGCAAGGACCGGGTCCAAAAATATTGAGGACCGATGCACTTCTGGCTAGCGTGTCAGGTTCTTTATTTCCATTGCACTGTTCGTGTCCCTTAACCCAGCATACATATATGCTGTTGGAAGCTGAGGCTCTAGAATATATTCCTCATCCTGCACCTTCCTTTTTGAGCCGTCTGTGAAGACATTAATTACATCTTCGCAGTCGGTCTCCTTCTGTCTCTTAATGAGTACGGTGTAAGGTTTGTCGAACGCAAACCGGGGAGAAATACTGTCAGTGTCTGCCTGCAGAAGGGGTACCTTCTGGAGCACCCCGTTCCATAGGCGACTCCTAACATGTCCGCATCCTACATCCGGTTTGAAACCAACGTTCTTGAGGCGAAGCATAGTTGTCAAGGCCACTTCCCTTAGATAGATATCCAGAGGTGGCAGACACAGCATTAGCTCCATTATTCTGGTGGGTGTTGTTCGCGTAGCTCCAGTTATGCTCAGACAGTCAATCCTTTGTACTTGGCTGAGCTTTTGTTTAGCTGTCGTCTACTGGGATTTCCGCCACCAGACGACAGTCCCATAGGCTAACATTGGTCTCACGATGGCAGTGTAGGTCCACATAACCACTTTTGGTTTCATTTCCCAGGTTTTACCAAAGGTTCTGAAAATGACGGTTCCATACTAGTTTAGTGTTAATGGCTCCAGTTTTCTTTCCCTCGTGAAGAGAACTGTCTCCGTCTTCCTGGGGTTGACTGACAGAGCATGGTCCTCACACTAATTTTCAATAGTTCTTAGGGCTGTTTGCATTATTTGGCATTCAAATCGTTTTTTTTATTCTTCAAAATAGGTCAATTTAAACTGTTTTTAGGGGTTATTTAAAAAATTAAATGCATATTGTTCAAACAGAAACTTGGAACAATATGATATGTAATGATTTTTAATATTAGACAAATACAAATTTTACTTTACTTTAGAACATTACAATTTTGTAGAATCTTTCTATAGGTGCAATTTGCAGTATGGTATATAAGTCACAAAAATAGTAACGACCTAGAAGTTTCAACTATTAAAGATCGTTAAGAAGAAAAGAATTGTCTTAAACTCGAGTTTTAAGTGATAATCAATAGAAATAAAGTAAATTTGACATAATTTACATTAAATTCATATTAATACGGTTTATTTTATTAAGAGCTTCATTCTCGTGAAACAGTATCTTCTTTATATTTTAAACATTTAATAACTGAAGTATTTATAACTTATTGAATATTGACAACTGTTACAATACCTTGATATTTTCAAGTAAGACAAATACCTTTTAAAAAAGAGCTGGCTGACATAGTCAGTTTAATAAAAAAATTCCACTCTAAATAGTTAAACTTGGTAGCAGCTATAGTTTGCCCCTGTTTCCAGCTTTGTGAGACATCTTCATGGAACCTTTCGAGAAAAAGGTCCTGGAGTTAGTAGCAGTTAAATCAACGTTTTGGTTCAGATATATTGACAACGTTTGTTGTCTAACGCTACGGATCCGGTTTAGGTCTTTCGACATTTTGTGAGACATGTCCCTTTCTTCCAGAATCGAAGATTAAGCCATTTTGTTGGTGTTTATATCTGTTGTATGCACTGGTTCATGACATTCCTTACAGCCATTGAAACGTGTCAAATGTCAAATTTTATGCCATCAATGTACCACTACGGTAAAGGCAGAAGTATTTGATACATGTCTATTCAGAGAACGTTCTGCATTCAAGTGAAAAACTACTAATCACATGATTACAGCTACCTAAATGGGCGCGTGCATAAAATTTAGGATACATTACATTACAACACTATTTACATTGGTCTAGTTTTAAATATAACGAAATTTACAGATATTGTATTGTAACTCTTTTCAGCAAAAGAGTTATAACATATTGATTCTATCTTTATATATCCGAAATATTTTTGGGTAAACTGCGAATCACTTTGTATACATAAAATTAGACTTACCACTCCCAGGAACGTAAATATTCAGGAACAAACAATCCTCAGACTGGTTCACCAACAGCGGAACTAACTTCTTCAAATACTGATACCGTCCCTTGGGCATAAACTGCAAGGCCGCCGTCCTGTTACTCACATCCGGATATCTCTGGGGACAAGCGGCGCCGAAAGTGTCCGCCAGTCGCGTACCCGGCCACGAGAGCGGCGGCTGAGGCGGCCGGAACCTCAGAGGACCTACGGGAGGAGCCGAGTAGGGCACTCCGCGGAAGACTTCCACGGGCTCCAAGTGACGCGAGTTGAGTTCGAGAATGATACCGCGGATGGCGCCCGTTTGGATCTCCACGATGCGCGAGCTATAACGCGGACCCGCACGGACGACGTGTGCTGCGAAGAGGATCACCACGAGGAGGACTCCGGTCAGTTGCTGGCTGGACGAGCATCTGGGAAGCATGGTACAGGGCGACTGGGCCACCGGTCGAGCATCACTTTGCCTCTGCCGCTACTGCTCACCTTTCAGACATTTGGGATGCGTGCATGTGGAGCTATCTGGAAAAAAGTGTTTTTCATTAACATATTGCCACAGAAGTCCCGTTTAAAAGAAAAAGTTAAGTTAAGGGCGTCGTTCCCACAAAATATTTTAAACTTCATTATTTGAACCAAAATCCTAAAGCAGGAGAAAGTTTATTGATTCGCTTTCTACTCCTCTCATAACCATTTTTGTCAATGGACGTACACTTCGATTCAATTTGCTTAGAAAGAGATTAAATTCTCAAATTTCTTTCGTTTGTAATCAAATATAAGCAAATTGAATCGAAGTTTACGATCTAAAGAGTCGTAATGTAAACATAAGAACGACCAAGAAAGTTGAAGAGTCTGAGAGCGACATAGCGTAGATCTTGAACTCTTCACTACATGTGGAGAAAGTAAATATGAATATATTTATTTATTTATTTATTTTTTATTTATTTAGAAGTTACAATATCCAATTATAGGATAAGGTAAAACAGAAAACCTTAACTAAATTTTAAAAGAAAAAGACAGACTAACATTAAATATAAAAATATAAATACTACTTAAAACAGAGCAATTAAAATATAAAATATAAAATCCAGACAAAGAACTTAAGTAGAAACAATTAGAGACAAATAAAACAAATAAACTAACTAACATATACAAGATAAGGATTACATTTGTTAGACAAACTATTTTATTATGTCATTCTTAGAATGAAAAAATATATCAAGTCAATCTGGTAATTGGAAATCATTTGATATAGGGGAGATGCTATTAGTAAATTGGTACGAGGTGTGGGTAATAGTAAAATGGAGTGAAATCTAGGATGATATAAAATCCTTGAGACTAATGAGTCTGCATTTAACGTATTTATGATTTTAAAAAAGAATATAATTGAAAACATAATTCGCCTACGACAGAGACTATTAAAATTAAAACAAGAAAGCAATAAATTTTGAGGGTTACCACGAGAAGAATAAAATCCATAACTAATAAAATGAATACCTTTAAAAATCTCCGTTGTACTTTCTCTAATTGAATATTATAAATGGGACTCCAAACAACCGATGCATATTCAAGTTTGCAACGCACAAATGCTGCATACAATATATTTAGAACCTTTACGTTCTGAAAGTCCTTAGAATTACGCAAAATAAAGCCTAAATTCTTATAAGCAGATTTGGTTACTAAACTAATATGCTCGTCAAACGATAATCTAGTATCGAATGTAACACCAAGGGTCAATAAATTGCGTAACTCTATTTAAAAAAGATTCACCAATTTCATAATCAAAATCTAGATTAGTTTTGCGTCGACTGTAAAACATAATTTTACATTTACTTACAGTCAGAGGTAAATTATTACATAAACACCAATTTTGTAATCTGTCAAGATTATCTTGTAATGGAGTACAATCAGTAAAGAATTTAACTTCCAAGAACAACTTCAGGTCGTCCGCTTAGAGTAAATAGTTGACATCGAGGCATTCAGTTAAGTCATTAATAAAAATAATAAATAACAGTGGTGCCAGGATTGACCCTTGCGGAACTCCTGAAGATTGATGGAATTTACATGACTGAAAGCCTCGATACTGCACAAATTGGTACCTATTACTAAAATAATGTTAATAGATTATAATTAAGCCGATCGAAAGCTTTGGAAAAATCGGTATACACAACATCAACCTGACTTCCTGCATCAAAAGCTTCTGCAATATATTGGGTTTTCTCAACTAGATTTGAGGTAGTTGATCGACCACTAATAAATCCATGTTGGTACGGAGATATTGATTTTTCAATATGAAAATAAAGTCGATTGTGTAAAGTTATTTCTAGGATTTTTGAGAAGTTAGTTAGCTTTTTGTCGTTCTTAGTACCTTTTTTATACACGTGGCATATTCGCGACTCTTTCCATACTTGTGGATATTCTTTATATGTAAATATAGAATTGAATATGATTTTTAAAGGTTTTGCAAAAATTGTTTTACAATCTTTTATTAAAAATGCAGGAATTAAATCAGGTCCCATTGTAAAATTACCCTTCATTCTCTTAATTGCATTTATTATGTCATCTTCGGTAACCCCAAAAACACAAAGAGTAATAGAGCCAACAGAGGACAATGTGGGCGAACAAATATTAACACTGTGCTTAGATAAAAAAAGAATCAGAAAAATAATTGGCAAAAGCATTGACAATATCAGAAGGGTTATTTAACTGAATACTATTATAATTCATACAGGATGGAATAGAGGTAGAATTAGATCTTGAATAAATATGGGACCAAAATCTTTTAGGATTTGAAGACAGATCATTAACTATTGAATTTTGATAATTTTTAAATGCTAAACTAATGCAATGAATGGTGAATATATTTATTTATACAAAATATTAATAAAAATTGGGTAAACATACGTAAACATTTAATTTTTAATTACACGAACATTAACTAAATACTATTCATCGAATACACATATTCAAGGTGGATTTCATACTCAATATTAATTAGATTATCATCCTAATTGAGATCTACTCAAAGCTTAAAGTATTGATTACTTATAATGTTCTACATTGTTTGATGAAAATACACTATGGCCTACCCAAATGATAAATGTCGACAGCAAGTTTTGCATAGTAATAGTGAGATATTTGGTAATAAATACCAAGGGTAGATATACTGTGCTATCAAAACAGTTACATGCTACGAATTGGGGTTTTGAGCACTCAATAATTTTAATTTAGGATAAAAGACTAAATGCAATATAAAATTAAAATAAAAATATAAAGGGCTTGGAAATTTAGGGCATTAAAGTTCTAGACATGTTGTTCCATGTAAGAGGTTAGGTATAACTAAATGAAGATCAACAATAAGGTAGACAAAAAATGTTAAGCAGTTGTCATTAATTAAATGAAATGAAACTGTGACAACGGTTTAATTTAGATCCTTTAGGAATAATCCATATAGATGCACATTAAGGTCAGACGAGGTATGAATTAATTAGGAATAGTGGCAGATTTGCTGACATTGCCCTGTGGTCTTAAAGGACACATGATTGGCTTACATGACGAAGACCTAAGAAGCAGATTCTGCAAAATAGATCAGCAGAATTCAGCATGCCATATCCTGCGAGAATGTTAAGCATTCTGAGACGTGGCATTCAATCTATAACGAAGCGAAGTGACTTCCGAAGGCGCTCTCAGACGGTGCCCACAGGCTGACTTCTGACCATTGAATATTATGTAACGGAATTTATGGAGAGAACATATACGCAAAACACTAATGAACTGATATTTATTTTGATTTTAAAGCTGCACAAAAGTCAATCAATTCTTATTAGATCAGTTTTAGACTGTTATGGGGTTACTTGGATGTTTCGGTAAGATTAGAAACGATGTTACACTCTAGTTTTTGTATGAGGGTTATCGGGACAATGCAAAGTCTGACGAGTCAGTCATCTACAGACCTTTAGGAATACCATCTTTCTATGATATTCTAACTTGCATTAAGATATAGAATCGGGTAATAGGCTCAGACTCTTCAAAATGATCATCGAAGGACTTGTTGATAAATCTATCAAGTCATAACTATGACGGTAAAGGGTTGCTAATTGGAGACAAAGTTGACTCAGTAATCGGAGTAATGGGTCCTATCAGGAGGAAAAGATTGCAGCCCAACTACAGTGATGAGTTTGAACGCTTAACAAGGGTGCTACTCGGAAGAAAAAAACTCGTAACTAGATCAAAAAAGTTAGAACTTGTGGAGGTCCAGAATGAACTCTGCACCTATGACAAGCCTTAAAAATTATCAACTATTGCATGCAATGACATCTGAAAATGAACAAAATACTCTTTAAAAGTGTAGAATATAAAATTTTACAACCAAATCAAATAATCAGATGATTTATTTGAATTATATTTTTTCAGAAAACTTTCCAGACATAGAATAGAATAGAATAGAATTTATTGATCTACATTAATACATAACATATTATAGTAGCTAGTCAAGGAACACAATAAAACAACAATTTAAAAAAATAGAACTAAAGCACTAGACAATATAGAAATACACATAGATCTAACAATAAAATTTGCTTTACAACGTAATACACGTTAGAGTAAAAGACAACTAAATGTCATGAACACTATCCATAAAGTCACGAACGGAATAAAAACATTTAGACAGCAAATAATTCTTTACACACAACTTAAATTTGACATAACATAGTGATTTTACATGTGTTGGGAGGATATTGTACATGTTTAAATTTAAAGAATTTCTCGCAGTCAATGCTAAGCGATATCTAGGTAGCCGCAAGAATTCAGAAGAACGGGTACAGTAATTATGTATATCCGACTGAACCGTGTAACTGGCAATATTTTTATGAATATCCAATAAACAGTTATAAACAAATAGCGACGGCAAGGGCATAATTGCAAGGTTCACAAAAAGTTGGCGACAATGATCTCTATAACCTACGTTGGACAGAATACGAATGGCTTTTTTTGGATTCTAAAGGTTTTTAAAGCGCTAGAGCAGCCTCCCCATAGCACAATACCATAAGACAAGATTGAATTAAAGAGGGAAAAATAAACTGATCTTAAAGTATCAGTGCTAATCACCTCTCTCAGTTGCCTTAACAAAAAAACTACCCCAGACAGCTTTTTATTCATGGACTCAACATGGTCAGACCAAGTCAATTTATTATCAATTGTAATACCAAGGATTTTAACAAATTTAAGTTCTACATGCCCTGGAGTAGTGGTAAACGTTATACTCTGGGATTTATCTCTATTAATTTTTAGATTGTTATATGTAAACCAATTTATGGCTTTAGATAGCATGTTAGATGAATCTTCAGTTAGACATGAGGAATCTTTATTCATATTAATCAGGGTGGTATCATCTGCGAATAGTATACACTTATTAGGTGCGATAGCAAA